CACTTATTCTAACTCGTTCAATTCGACAGGTGTTGGCACAAATTTTTCTGGATTTGAATTCTAAATGATGGCAAAGAAATGTACAAAATTGAGTGATGCACGTTCAAAGTTGTTGTTTTGCCAATCTAAACCGAATGCTTTTTTGCCGTTCTCGTTGCCGTCGCCGTCGTCGTTGCTTAAAATCCTGAAAAGCGCGTACGTTAAGAAAAATAATGTTTCATATTCTGTTTTTTCGTGACAAATTATCCCATATAATATTTTAGAAATAAAACTGTACATTTATTTTAAGGAAGTCTATTTCCTTAAACAGATTATTAGTAATCCACAGCCTTAAATCTGGGTTAAGCCCGGTGCAAACGGACGCAACACTGTGTAAGTTTGAAACCGGTCAAACTTTTCAGCCAACAACTCCCAACATTTCTTTTGTTCCGTGATCGCCGAAGCGTAGCGAAACAATGTCGGATCCGTTCGGACAGCTCTTCCAACATTGTTGGAGCCGCGCACGCTCATTCACATGGTTTACAAAGACTTATGGGTTGTATCCTTCTGCGCTACGGAGTTCCCAGGACAAGTTGTTTACAATAATTGGCCAACGAAACAATGATTGACCCAAACAATGCCGCCATATAAAACCTTTTATTGGCTCACAGGTCAACCACAAGCTACGCCAACGGGCAGAAACAAGAGAACCGGATTCGGAGAGGTTCCAGCGGCTGGCAAACTCTGTAGAGGAATTTATTTTCTGTTTACTGGATCCGCTTAAAACCGACCCTGACTGGTGTAAGGAATTTGGAGAAAAATATCTAGATGGCTTTTTGAACCATGCAATTGAATTCGAGCAGAAAAAGGTAGAGTAAAAGAAACTGTGAAATTTATTAACAAAGGGAAGTTTAAACCCATGACAGATAGCCAGCTTGTGATGAATTGGCGTGGAACCTTTGCTTTTGTGATTCAAAATTATCGCCATCTACCCCGCCAAATATTACTGAAAATGCAGATTTATTCAAATAATAAAGAAATTAAACATTATCCACGCTTGAGGAGTAAAATATTTGGACAACAGTGAAACAAAAGTTGCTCTTTTTGGTGAAAATGGCTTGACTTCATATCGTTTATGACGTAATATCTCGCACCCGACTAGAAACCAATGTGTAGTGCAGTCGAAAACAGAGTTCTAGGGCAGACTTTTTAGAAAGAAAACTTTTAATGAGGGCAAAGTATGAGCTTGGTGTAAGAACTGTAAAAAAGGGCAAAGACTGAGCGTGATGTGTTGATGCGCGCGGGGGAGAAGGGGGGTAAAGCCTGGTTTCCATATGATCGCTACGATCCCTGACCAAAATGGTTCAGCGATCAAAGCGATTGATGGTTTCCAAATGATCGTTGCGATCGCTGCGATCGCAGAGTGAAGACCGAGGGTGTCTGGGGCTAACAGCATAGTTCGCGCCATTCCTCAAATTCAGCATGGCGGCTGCGAATCGTCGACTCCTACTTGAGGCGTAATTATGGGTGTTTTTCGACCTAGAAGACGACGGGAAAGACAGAGAACTCCTTTTCAGGACTTTAATCGAATTTCTCTCCGATTGCTTTCCTGCAGTTGATTTTCTTGTGCCCCAAGTTTCTCTATATTCCCTTGAAAATTTGTTGTAAAGTTAGTCGTATTTTTCTACTTCCTGCATAAAAAGAGCCAAGTCGATTGCGTTCTCAATGTTTGTGCTGGCAGCCATCTTAAAAAGCGTGAGCGCACGCAATGCATCCTGCTACTTTTGCTGTCGCTGCGATCGCTGTGATCGCTTTGATCGCCGGAGAGTGGTTTCTATATGATTGCTACGATCGCTGAGATAGAACTGAAGTCGATCGTTGTCGCTACGATCGCTGTAATCGCTGCTATCGCTGGAGAGTGGTTTCCATATGATAGCTGCGATCTCTGACCTTTTTTTCAGTGATCGCAGCGATAGTAGCGATTATTTGGAAACGAGGCTTAAGGGGAAGTGGGGGGGGGGGGGGGGGGGTTGGT